GTGCAATCTGGTGAAGTGATGGTGTAGCTCGAATCGTGGATAAGCATGACTCATTGGAGCAGCAGGTGGCAGGTGTGCGGCAAAGACTCTTCGGCTCGGACTGGTTCATGATGAAGATCGGTGTTGACCAAGCAACTTGGAACAGCGATAATGCGAGGCAAATCCGTTTGCCATCACCGGTCTGACACAAATGCAATTAGTAAACTATATAATAAATACTCCTAAAAATTATATGTTATGCAATTATATTATAATATTTTTGTTTAGGGAAAAAATATTAGTCTTTAATTTTTTATGCAATTAATTCTAAATGATTGGCTAAAATTTAGATGTCAACACAGCTGCTGCGCATGACATGAGGTTTGTTGTTTTTTCATTTATATTAGTTGCAAAAAGTGAGATCTCTTACAATCTTAGACTAGGTGTGTTGGAGACTTAAATTCATTCACCCGTCCAGCCGCAGGTGTAGAACTTCACAAGATTAGGTATTAATGAATAGAGCCCACAAGCTTGTCTTTTTTTGTTTTTTGAATTCCCTTCATGCGCTGCAACAATATTTAATGAAGAGCCCACTTTTTAGCATTATGATATTATAAAGGTGGGGCTTATGATTGAGAACAAATGGGGAAGCTCGTTGGAAGCTCTTATGACTATAGGAAGAAAAACGAAAAGAAAAGAAAGAAAGTTTGTGTCTGGTAGTTCCTTAGTCTCTTTTATTTTGAGATACGCTCTCTCTTTGGCGTATATTGCGAGATTTGTGCTATAAACAATGTGGGTATCGGGTGTAATTCCAGTGTTACACATTTTTGCAAAAATTTGTGCCCATAAACAGTTTTGGAAGAGAAATAAGAAATAAAAAAAGTTGCTTTTTGTTTCTCGGCACAATTTTGAGAATCAGTTTTTTTTCTTCTTTTTCTTTTTTTTGTTTTCTTCTTTTTGTGTTGCTGTTCTTGGGTTGTGGCCGGTCTGGGCGAGGCCGACCTCGCCATGACCGACGGTGAGCCGCCTCGCCCAGGCGGCGAGGGTCCAGCCCTCGCCCTCGCCTCCGCCGGCGGGCGACGGCCGTGATGCCCTCGTCGGCCCTAGGCTGTGGCGGGTCGCCGGCGACCGGCCATGGCCAAGGAAGAGAATGGGTAGAAAGAAAGAAAAAAAATATTAAACAATTCAAAATATTATTAATAAAAAGAAATTTTGTGTAGTTACCAAACGCATTTCTATTCTTTTCTATCCCGGGCATAGAAATTTTGGACAGTTACCAAACGCCTTCAAATGCTTAGAAATTGTTTCCGGGCACAGAATAAAAAAGAACAATTTCTGAGTAGAAATAGTTCCCCGGCATAGAAACATTGTCATGCGCACCCTTAGTCTCTTTTATTTTTAGACACGCTCTTTCTTTGGTGTATATTGCGAGATTTATGCTATAAACAATGTGGGTATCGGGTGTAATTCCAGTGTTGAGAAACACTAGAGTATGTGATCAATTAAAATCGTGTATTTTCCGATTTATAAGTGGATTATGGGCGGCTGACTCTCCTCGTGAATGTAGATTCCAGTATTCGGATCGAACCACATAAATCACTCTTGTCATTTTGGTAGCTATGTTTAGTTTAGGAGATTAGAGGATTGGTCTTTTATTTATCTGTTATTATATGTTCGGGATATGTTGATAGCAACTAAATATGAGTCTGATATTGATGTACTTAAGTGGTAGTTAAGTGCTGAATTTGGAATGAAATATATAGCTGTTGCTAAGAATTGGGTATGGAGATTTTGCATGATAGAGCTATTAAAAAGATTGTGGCACTTTTTAAAATGCAGTCAGCGAAATTTGTAGGTATACCTTTAACTGCACACTTTAAACTTTTTAATGAATTATCACCACAAATTGATGAAAAGGAGGAGCATATGTCTTGTGTCCCTTAATCTAGTGCAGTGTGTAGTATTAGGAATGTCATAATATGCACTAGGCCTGACATTTCACAAGCTGTGAGCGTTATTAACTGTTATATCAAGCGCCAAGGTAAGTCTCATTGGGAATTTACGAAGTGGGTTCTCAAATATTTAAAGAGGCTAGCAGACGTTGGTATTATGTACCAGAGGGATGGCAATAGTGGTGAGACCACGGGTTATATGTATTTGGATCACGGTGGTGACTTGGATGACTGCATATCATTAGCGGAATACGTGCTTTCATTAGCAGGTGGTGTAGTGAGTTGGAAGGCGTTTTTACAAGACGATGTTGCCATGTCCTCAACTGAGACAGAGTTCATGGCACTGATCTTTATGGCGAAGGAGGTGATCTTGTACCTAGAGTTGCAGGAGAAAAGTGTTATCATGCACTGTGACAACTAAAGTGCAATATATCTAGCTTATAATCCAATTTATTATAAGCGTACAAAGCATATCAATATCATATTCCATTTTATCCAAGATGTCATAGCAAAGGGAAAGGTTGTTGTAAAAAAAATTGCAATAGTAAAGGACCCGACAAACATGATGACGAAACCTGTTTTGTTTAGTGAAGCTCGAACTTGCTAAAGCTCGAATGGTGTTTGTAAAGAATAAGCATATGTTAGGGCGTTGGAAGAGCCAACATAAAATGAACACTATAACTTGACTACAAAAATCAAACCAAGGTGGATAATTGTTAAAATCATATCTTAAGTTTGAGCGCGTTGATTAAACACGGTCCAAACCGAGTTCGATTGAATAAACAAAATGCAACCACCGCTTTGATCTGTTAAAGCCGCAATAAATTCCTTGCATGCATGTTCGGCGGCTACATATGAAGTTTGTTGTTTTTTAATTTATACTAGCTGCAAAAGTAAGATCTTCTACGATCTTAGACTAGGCGTGCTGGAGACTTAAATTCATTCATCTATCCACCTCAGATGTAGAACTTCACAAACGTGTGCATTAATTAATGGAGCCCACAAGCTTGTCTACTTTTTGGTTGAATTCTCTTTATGCGCTGCAACAACATTTAATGAAGGCCTCCTTTTTGGCATAATAATATTACAAGGGATGCACATATGATTGAGTATAAATATGGGAGCTCGCTGGAAGCTCTTACGACCATCAGAAGAAAAAACAAAAGAGAAGAAAGAGAGTTTATGTCTAGTGGTCCCTTAGTCTCTTTTATTTTCTTTCATTTGTCCAATTGGATGTGACACGTTCTCTCTTTTGGTGTATATTGTGAGATTTGTGATGTAAACGCATGGGTATTTGGTGTAATTCTAGGGTTACGAATGCTAGAGTGTGCGAACCATTTTAATTATGTATTCTCCAATTTATTAGTTAATGACTAGCTCTCTCCATGGACATAAGCTTTAATATTCGGATTAAATTACGCAAATCTCTCATGTCATTTATTGTTTCTTGTTTTAACTTTCTCTAATAACTTCATGTCTTGATATATTTGCAAAGATCCAATATGTTTTACAATACGTCCGATGACATGGAGCCAAGTAAGAGAAATTGTGTCTTCTATTTGCACCGGCCATGGATAGCAGTGTTACCAGCCAACCATGGACGAGCTAGCGATGCTGACTCTAGTCCAAGCTGTCTTCGGCTTCATTCAGCCGGCTGAAGATAGAGATGGGAGAGGCCAAATTTGGAGTCCTCCAGATCAAAATCTAGACGAGTAAAGGCAGAGCCGACCGCAAGCAACAATGGTGAGGTGGCTCGGGCCGACCATGAGCGATGCCAAAAGGTGTGGAGATTGTTTGATGGCGAGCGACACTGTTGTCCAGATCTACAGCCATGGTCCAGATCTGGACCACCTGCTTTCTTTAGGACGAGCAACGTTGGAGCTGATCACTAGCGACAACGAAGGGGTGGCTCGGGCCAACCGCGAGCAACACTGAAAGGGGTGGAGAGTGTTTGACGCGATTGGCTAACGCGAGCGACACTGCTATCGTGATCTGTAGCCATTGTCCAAATTTGGACCGCCCGCTTTCTGTAGGCTCCATCTTTGTCATTCATGACCCGCTGTTGGTCTAGATCTACAACCATGGTGAACGCAGCTCCACCATTACTCGTCCAGATCAAGGCCTGAACACGGCTTAGCCTAACCGATCAATCGGTGATGTTGCTAGTTCATGATTGGCAACAAACACAAGCCCATATCGCCGGACGATCAGTGCTCTGTTGATGTTGGAAGAAGAGAGAGAAAAACCTAATATTTATTTTTTTGTTCAAAGTCAATGTCCATGTGTCAACCTATAATTTGACATGAGTACATAAATGTGCGTCATATCAGTAGCCGATGCGGGGAAAATGGACATCTAAGTGCAATAACTTTCGTACGATACTCACTTGAGTGCCATAACTTTTATTTTCGATCACTTGAATGTCATGACTTTTTAAAAACGTTCACCACAAGTGCTATGCCACGTTCGATTTCCGGCACTTAGGTTAACGTTTTTAAAATTTTTTTACACTTAAGTGATCGATTAAAAGTTATAACACTCGAATGAACGTTTTCTAGAAATTATGGCACTTAAGTGGTTGAAAAATAAGTTATAGCACTTAAGTGAGCGTTGTACAAAAGTTATGACACTTGTGATTCCGTTATCCCTTGATGTAGCGCTACACAACCACCAAATATTCCCTCCATGGATAGTGAATAGACCTGAACTCATATACTATAGGCGAACCATGGGCGGGCCCCTTTTGTAGTTCAGACCGATCGGCAAAAAAAAATATATATAATAAATATGCGGGCTGCACCGGTGTGCCTCGGGCCCAATCAGATTGGGCTGAGAACTATAGCTAGCTATAGGCCCTTGTGGCCCAAGTTGGACATGGGTAGGTCCGTGGGCTGCCAGGTCATAATCAAAAGTCGTCTTTCTATGGAAATGAAATCTATGTAGATAGTCAAGATAGAGTTGAACCATACGAAATTGTTAGCACTTAATGGCGTGAGAATCGAATTCGTGTTGTATATGTAAGAGTGACGGTGCCGTCAGCTTATCATTTTCCTATATATAATGCCCTCACATTAATCCATTCATTGATCGACCGGCCTTAATGGTACTCATCTTCATCCTTCATTTATCATCATTTTATTTCTCATTCTTCAATAATTATTCTTTGATTTGACCAAGTTTGAGCAAGAGGATAGGGGAAGATAGAAGCGTTTCCCCATAATCAAAGATAGAACGAAGCTTACGCAATGTCCTCAAACTGGACTCGTTCAAACGTGAGCAAAACCTACGCCCCAAGAATAGCATGGGTCGGAATTGAACGTGCGCACTAACCGCAACTTCAACAACAATAATGAGAAATGAGAAAGAAGAAACAAAGAAAAGAGAAAATCGATGTAGAACTGTAGTCATGATTTCATTTACCAAACAAAAATCAGAGACATGAGAAGGCTTAGGAGAATCACCAAGCTGTTTATTTTCTGGGTTTTGGTCGCACTCCACGCTCAAGCTCTCTCCACAGAAATAGGAGATGCAGGCCACAAGCATGCTAAAGCCGAAAAGGAGAAGCTATCCATTGCAAAGATTGTCATGGGCGCAGTTTCCCTCCTCAGAAAATCCCATGAAATCTCATGGATCAAGATTAAGACCATCATGAACAACATGCAGCTCCAATTCTTCCCTCCAGATTTAGAGTAAGTGATCACAGGCTTTGGCTAATTATAGATACCATCATTCTCATTCACGACTGGAAGCTTTAGTATCATAAGCAAAGCTTGAAAAATTGTGGAAACAGCTTTAGAAGCAGGGACGATGCGATTGTCGACGACCAGAATAATGCGGGCTCGAAAGTGAAACGTGCGGTCAAGAAGAGCTTTGGGACTAGCAAAGTGGCGGTGGAGGAAACTGCAAAATCTGCGGCTGAAGTTGTGGGAAAAGCGGTGCGCAAAACGGCGGAGAAGGTTAAAGAAAACATATCCGATGAAGATGAAGGCGAAGAGTCAAAATCGGAGCTTTAACGAAAAGATTGGTCAAATGATGCCGTCGTATTAGTTTCGTTTTCCTTTTTCCCCTTAAATGTTGTACTAGTTGATTAGTGAATTCTTGGATTATCTCCTTGAACCAAAGCTGCATTTGCATGCAGAAGTAATTATGCTCTTGATCTTAATCCCATCTCAGTGTCGCCAGATGAACGCCGAAACGACTCCAGTCGAAAAAAAGACAGGTGTATGCTGCGAAAAACCAATGATAGAGCAAATTTTATGTGTGCATTGACTTCCAAAGTGAAAATTCTTTCACTCGCTTATTAGCAAAATGGAATGCAAACAATGCAGGCTTTTTTTATATGAATTGTCACAGGTTAACACAAGCTCCTAAAGAGAGAAATTCAATCGTGAACATTTGAAAGATCACACTTCGATAACTTAAAACCGCGAAAATCTGATGAAATAGTCAACACTAGTTTGTTCTTTTGGCTTGACAACCAAAGATGTCTCGTCTCCTCCCATTTTCGCCGAAGAAATCAGGAAAGCCATATAAGTTCTGAAGCTCTCGAGTTCAATTTCTCTGGTTATTACCATCAATAAGGACATACGATTTCTGTCCCTTTGGTAGCCAGTAAAGTTTGCGAACAAAAACAAGAAGTACTATGTAATGCAGAAAATGAGATTGTAAATCATACATGTAAATCAAGGACAACACAGCAAAATCTCTAGATAAATCTGGTAGTCCTTGCTACAAGTCTACAACACAGATTTCGACCCAAGCTTGTTCAGGAAAGTGAGCTTCCCCAATCCAGGTAGATGGATTTTGTTTCCCTAATGGACTCAGAAGATAGCCCAACAACAAAATTTCAGAATAGGCAAGGCATCTCTGTTTTCCTGGCAAAGAATGATTCTTATATTTGGTTGAAAAATAGTATGAGAAGTTGATTGCAACAAATACTTCGTACTTTCAGATTCACCTAGATATCATACATGCTCTCTAAACCTGTACTGGACACCTCGTAAGGCAATAAAACCCAACAAACAAAGAATCTATTAACCCCGTTACAAGCGAAGTAACAAAGGAAACAAATTGAAGAAATCATGCTACATTTCCAATAGCTGAGGCATGATCTGTTCATGTCCCAAGATGCAAGAGGTGGACACTATCAGACGTTGATGTCGGCACGCTTTGATCTACCTGTGCTGGTGAATTCAGAGGAACTACTGTATGAAAATCTCGGAAACGTATAGTTCTCAGATACCGAAACTGGCTGCTGAGGATATAAAGTGGGAGGTGGTGTAAGATTATGCTGTGCTGGAAGAGGAGGGAGAGAATTATAGTTATAGGCACCACTGTTCACACTGCATAAAAAACAGAACCTCGGTAAGAAGAAAAAATGAAAGTTCTGTTTTATCTACTCCTATGGTTATGAAAAAGGTACGTATACTCTACACAAACAGCAACATCATAGCATCAAATTCCACATGTTTTATCGTCACATGAGATTCCAAACTACAAATTGCATCAAAAGCAAACTGCCATACATTAAAAAACAATACTCAAGTCACACAAAATCACATATTTTTGCAATCAAAAGGGTAAACAAAAACAGGAAGGGGGGGGGGGGGGGGGTGGTGCGGGGATACATCATTAATGGTTTGCTTTGCTTTCTTTGGAATTATAAAAGATCAAGAACTTCTGAAAGGAACATCCACTATCTAATCAGTTAATGCTGGCACTAACCACATGGAAACATAGAAAATATCCAACAGCTCAATCATGAATGAAGTTTCTAGAACATTTTAAGGTTGACAGTCATTTGCAAGCAAAGTTGAGAAAAAGGCAAGATGAGAGAACCTCGTATTCTTGTAAAACTGTTCATCATCACTCAAATCATCATCCAAACGCTGGGAAGTTCTCTGCACTGGAGAGACAGACCATGGATTGGCCGAAGGCAATTCTTCTGAGACATACCTTCTCCTGATTAACTGAAAAAAGAGTGCCCACTTTCAAATCAAGCAATAGAAGTACAATCTCTAAAGATGAAAGGACAACTGCACCTACCGTCTGAAAGAATTTCACTAAAGCTTCCTTGTCATATCTTGATTCTTTGGCAGCCTGCATTGTCAAATTGTAGAATTCATTAATTAAATATACTTATCATTGACTGTGAATAAGTACAGAGAAGACAACCAACAATACATGAGTACTTCTCATGATAAGATCTTGAAATCATCAATTAACTACCGTTCAAATTTGAACTATTCTCAGTTCTCACGACATCACATTTTCAATAAAAATGATCCTCAAATAAATAAAGGACTAAAGTGGGCAACTTTATGCAGATGATGCCTAGTACTTGCCCATCTTTCCAAGTGTATACGACAGCATATGCTACATTAGATCCGACCACGTTCTTTAACAAAGTAACTTCATTCCAAACATCATTATAGTGGACCATTTAAGCCTGCATTTATTACTTCAAAGAAGGGAAATCATAGACGTGACTAATATAAAGTTGAAAACAGCAAGGAAATCAATCACTTGCAAAGGCAGATACAGATTAAACAGCTAGCAGGAAGTTGTTAACGTAATAAGATGAACAAAAGCTTAAGCTGAGATTATTACCGCGAGGAGTCCACCACTGCCTGGAAATGTCTCTGTCAGTGGAAGTTCCTCACTAGATGGCAGTAATCCTTGCTTCTCAACCCACTGGCGAGCAGCATCCACAAGATTACCACTGCTTCCTCTTATTCCCTCTTTCACAGCTACATCTGCTTTGTTACCAATAACGAGGTATGGAACAGGAAGGCCACCAGGACCTCCAGATCCTAGAGGAGCAGAGAATGTTCCAGTTGCAGCTACTTCAGATGCCCATTTCTGCAAGCTTGATTTCGTCCTTCTTTGAGAGAGATCATGGACAAAAATAACACCTATCGTTGATAAGAATACACAGTTACACGTGGATAGTGAAGAACTTATCGACAAATCCGAAAGGTGCAGAGGTAACATGATTAAATTTTCAGCAGTAAGAGAAACCAAAGTTCCATGTTCGCACTTCAGACAAGGTTAGCTACACACTACCAGTCACAGATAGATACATATAACTACATTGATGCAAGGTGAATGTAAAATCATGCATATGGATGCAATGCACTCATTCTACCTGCTGTCCTAGGATTAACAATTTCCAAATGACAAACCAAAGATTAAAGTTTGTTGCCAAAAGAATGTTGAGATTTGTTCGATGTTCATCCGGTAAATATTAAATAACACTACTCACAAGCAAACATGGTAAGAAGCTCTTAATCCCTTTTGACCCTACAAAATATACACTGCCAACACTTCATTCAGATGCCTTGTGAACCACAGCTTAAGATGTAATAACTAACCCAATTGTGTACTTGCAGACCTGCAAGTGTCCTGTTATAAAACAGACAGTACAGATGCAAGGTGCAGAGACTTGCTGTTTTTTAACTCATACTGAAAGGATTCCCATTTTAATTCATCCGTACATGCAAAAGTAAACTTAACCATGATATAGCAGATCTGGACATACAAAAGTAGACTTATTCTCACCATTTATCTGAGAATAGAAAAGAGATCTGCAATCTTTGTAACGATCATGGCCTGACACGTCCCAAAGTTCAACAAAAAAATCTCTGTCAGCATCACCACTACTGCTAGCCGAAGAGCTACCAGAGTTTCCATAAGAAATAAGCTGGATCAGGAAAGAAACAGAAAACAGTTAATGTAAAGCTCGATTTCCAGAAATATCAACGGTCTCCTATGGAGGCAATTGTAGTTAGAGCATACCTTCAAACTAACTGTGCAACCAATCGTTTGGGCAGGGCGGGCAATGGAAAATCCTTTGACGATCAAATGGACGAGAGAGGTTTTTCCCACACCTAGCAAGATATTAAAAGTGATTAGATGCATAAAGCACAATTGATGCAAGTGACACTCGTAGATTTCTACAATTCCAAGTGCTGAACAAAACATAAAAGAGTACATTGTAAGAGCAGCACATAGGTAATTCACTCTAGGTCGAAATTGCATCTCCATTTATCAATTTTTTTTTTCTGTTTAATAACAGAGTGCAAATATTGCATAAAAAAAAGAGAGTTCAAATTTGTATCTTAAGGGTCCCCTGCCATGTAGACTAATTATCTGGTTCTAATCACAATGGAAATCACAGTGAAGCCCAACGCACTCTCCAATAGACGAAATATGGCTTTGTTCATGTGCTGTATAAGTATCTTCTTTTTCAGGAATTCTCCATAATTATCAGTGAGAAGACTGCAACATGGAGGATTTGCATAGACACGGTTCGAGCTTTCCTCCATCTAAATGATGACATATCTATAATACAGAGGGACTCATGAACAAATATAATAGACCATAAATTTCAGCAGGATAACTCCTTGTTCTAACAAAGCAAGGAATGAACCCATGAAGTCATCGATCTAAAGTGGGAAGAACAAGGGGAGTAATTCTCATTTCTAGACAACGAAGATAATCGGGGGAAGTCTTAACTCTAGTTCCCACATACTTGGCGAATGGTCCTACTGCCTTTTATCTTAATGCTAATGTGCTTTTGGATAACCTTGGAGAACGATGACGCCCCGAACTCTGACGTCTAACATAGAACGGAAGTTTCAACAATCTAGTCCTTGGGAGGGAAATACCATATTCACTCTCCCCCTGCTTTTCCCGTTACAATGGTTTGGGGCTTAATCATTGCAATTCTCCAACATTTGCCGCCCCAATGTGAAATCACTAGGCAGATTTACTTCGACAGCTCCGAACAGGGCCAACGAACGATTCAACCCATTATCAGCTCATGAAACCAATCCCAACCTCTCAGATTTTCCCAAACTAGACACGCAGAACACTAAGAAGAAAAGCCGAAAGGAAGAGTCATCAGCATCAGAATGAACTCACCCGAATCGCCAACAACAAGCACCCGGACCTGCCCACAAGGCAGCCCACCATTATGCTCTTTGACCTCCTTCTCACGTCCCCTCCAAAACATGTTTCCACGCGAAAAAAACCCTCCAACTAAAACCGACCCTCGCAGACACGCGACTCAATCTCTTCCCGCACACCAACCATATCCCATGAAAAGCTCTCAATCCTCACATCAGGTCGTAGATCAACCTTAATGCCCAGGCCCAGAAAACCACAGCACGATCCTCTGCAACGCTAAAAAGAGCGAGTTCTTGGAATCCCGAGCTCGGCAGATGGCCCCAGAGATCCGGCCTCCTCGAAACCTCCAAGAAAACGGGGGCGCTCGCTCGATCAGCCAACTGGGTGTCCGTCGAATTCGCTCGCCGTGAAACCGCACGCGGAATCAACCGATCCCGAGATCAAGAAGACAAGATTCTACCGAATCCGGCACGGCACGACGGCGACGACGGCGCTACCGAGCCGAACGGAGCTGTGGGAAGTTAACTCCGGTGAGCACCCGAAGCTCGGACGACGCGCGAAGCGATGACGAATCGATACGAGCGAAGTGCGCCGTGGAAACGAGATCCCGCAGAAGGGAGTTCCAGTTCGTGGATCGAAGGCGATGGGTGCGTAGATCTGCCTCCTCCTATTCACTGTTAACTCTCTCTCTCTCTCTCTCTCTCTCTCTCTCTCTCTCTCTCTCCTTCTGCAATTTTTTTTCTTTTTTCCTTTTCTTGCTTTTTGGTAGCCAGAAGCATAACCTCATTTTTTTTGGGAAAATTTCAAATAAAAATCCGAAATGCTTTCATTTTCCCAAATAAAAGCATAAACTGAACTTTGAGTTAAATAAGGACCTAAAGTGAACTCATGTTCTCAAATAAGGATCTGAAGTTGCTATAATAGTTTCAAATAGAGGTCTTACCTCACCGGCTTATTGGCCACTCAAATTTTTAGGCCGACCAAGGGCATTTTTGTCCAAAAAATAATTTTAACATAAATTTTAGGGAAAATTCTAATTTGGGGTCCAAAGTGGGGCCATTTTCTCAATTTGGGGTCCCAAGTGGATTTAGTGCCAAATTGGTACCCAAAGTCCCCAAAAAGTGTCAAATAAGGGTTTGGCGCCGGCACAAAATACCCGACTGCCGGCGATTCTCGCTGATAGTTCGGCTGAATCGAAATGTTGTTTTTATTTATTTTTTTCTTTTCCTTTTCCTCTTTTTTCTTTCTCCTGTCCCTCCGCCGGTCATTGCCGGGGCCGGCGGAGGTCGCCGGCCTCAGGCGGAGGCGGCCCTCGCGGCGAGGGCAACCCAGTGGCCGGCGAGGTCGCCTCGCGCGCGTCGAGCGAGGGCCGCCCTCGCCCGGGCCGGGCGGGCGAGGGCGACCTCGCCGTATCCGGCTGAAAGCATCCTCGCCGGATCTGGCGAGGGCGGCCTCGCCTGCCCCTGGGCGGGCGGCCGCCCGCCGGCGACCCAGGGTCGGCGAGGGTCTCCCGACGCCGGCGAGGGCGAGGCCGCCTCGCTCGGGCCGGGCGGCGAGGCGACCCTCGCCGGCCCCGGGTCCCCTCGCCGGCGAGGGCGGCCTCCGCCGAGGCCTGCGACCTCCGTGGGCCGGCAATGGCCTACGGAGGGAAAGGAGAAAAAAAAAGAAAAAAGAAAAAAAAATATAAAAACACTTGTTCGTCACGAATAGCATGCGGATCGCCTACGGCGAGTATTTTTGGCCTACGGCGACCCGCACTTTATTTGACACTTTTTTGGGGACTTTGGGTACCAATTTGGTACTAAGTCCACTTGGGACCCCAAATTGAGAAAATGGCCCCACTTTGGACCCTAAATTGGAATTTTCCCTAAATTTTAATTAAATTAGATTTAAAATTTAAAAAAGAAAAAAGAAAAACAGGGAGTAGGGCTGGCAGTTAGCCCTCCCCGCCTGTGGCTACCACCGCATTGTCGGATAGAGTTGAGGGCTGCTAGCCCTCATCAGAGTCGGAAGAGGGCGACGATCTTCTCCCAGATCTGGGCGAGGGTCGCTGGACATCTCCCCCGCTTGGGCAAGGGTCGTAGGTCTGGGGGAGGGCTGCCGGCCCCGTGCGAGATGATGAGGTTCGGCAGCCCTCCCCCAGACCTGGGCGAGGCCCGGCGACCCTTGTCTAGGTGGGGGCGAGGTCCGATGACCCTCGCACAGATCTAGGAGAGGGTCACTGCCCTCTCCTGGCTAGCAGGCCCTCGCCTTTGGCTGGCCACTCTCGTTGAGGCGCGGGCGACCCCGCCGCCCCCCCCCCCCAACCGGCGATGGAGAGGCGGCCATAGGCGAGGCTAGGCTCCCTCTTGTTTTTTTTTTTTTTTTAACTTTAGCTTTTTTTTTTCATTTTTGAGTTTGTTTTTTATGGAAAAAAACTGAAAAAGGAAAAAATTAATAAATTAAAAGACGAAGATGCCCTTGACTTCGATGTGGTGAGGCCCTTTTTTGAGATTGAGATGGCCACTTCAAACCCTTATTTGAGATAATATTTACTTTAGGCCTTTATTTGAGAAAATGAGGGCACTTCGGGTTCTTATTTGACACATAGTTCACTTCAGGCCCCTATTTGAGAAAATAAGAGCACTTCGGGTCCTTTTTTGGAATTTTCCCCATCTTTTACTATAAACCTCCTAAGAATTCCAAATTTCGCTGAAAAGGACTTTCACATCTTGCAACGATCTGTATTCTTTTTCTAATTTGATCCAAATCACTCATTTTCTCCTTATAATTTAGAAGACAGGGAAAATAATATAAATGGTCTCTAAACTTTGGTTTAATGTGGCATCTGAACTTTTAATTTGTTCAATGTGATCCCTGAATTTTAGCACGATATGCAATGTCATCCCTGAACTTTTAAGTTATTCAACAAGATCTTTGGATTTTTGGTATATGTTCAAATTAACCCTTAAATTATATGAAAATGTTCAATGTTGTATCTAAATTTGACTTAATGGAAGGACAATAGTTCAGTGATTAAATTAAACATGTACCAAAAGTTTAGAGATCGAATTGAATAATTACAAATTCATGGATCACATTACACGTTGGTGTAAAGTTCATGAACTACATTAAACAAATTAAAAGTTCAAAAAATATATTGCACATTAAACTAGAGTTCATGGATTATTTATGTTAGATATGGAGAATTTCTTAAAATAAGAGAGGATTTTTATGACCAAGGGAAAAACTCGAAACCTTCTTGTTCGGGCATCGTTGCTATCGGCCTGTTTACGGCATTAAATTCCAACATTTTTAAACGGGATAATTACGCGAGCCCGACTCTATTTAACTATCAATATTATTAGCCCCAGATCAAGGTTTAACAAATTCTAGGAAAATAAATTCCATACATGAGGGAAATGGGGTCAAAATTAGAAAAAAAGAAATATAAAGAAATGAAGTAAAAAAGGTGAGGAAAGAATATTAAGGTGGAGCGAGAAGGAGCATTGACAAGTTGGGGGAAGAAGAACCCGAAAAAACGCAGGAGGAGCAATGCCGTTTTAGATTCCATTCGCATTTCCACCTCCTTCAATTTGCCCATAAGAGAAAAAAAAAGGAATCTTTACGCACTGGATCGATCGATCGATCGATGGCTCGATCATCATCGGGATGAAGTAGATCACCTCCTTCGATTCTCCGCTTCTCTGGTCAACGAATTCGTCCTGAAACTTCAGCTCTCTCTCTCCCTCCCCCCCTCGTCTTCGATCGCGTTCGGTTCCTCGTTCGTGTTCATCTTGCGATCCGGGGATGTCCTGTTCGCGATTCACATGGTGGTATGAGATCAGTGTGTGCTTTGCTCGGCTTGATGGGTTTTTTTGTCCGGGTTTCGCGATTTGGGTTGGCGTCTCCCTGCTCTTTTGTGGATGCTTTTCGACCTTTCGTTCGCAAATGTTTTGCTAATTGTGTAGGGATCAGCAATTGGGCACCCGCTCCGGATCTTCTGTTGTTTTGCGTACGTCGTTGTTGTTGGGCATTTGTTGTTCGCTTTCAAGTGATGATTTTTTCTTTGTTTTTCTGGATGATTTGTCGTGTTTGGACTGCTTGATGATGGGGGGTCATCATGGTATGTGGGGATAAGAACATAGAAGTTCTGAAGCGGTCGCCTGTCATTTGGCAATCACGTCAATACTCTCAGAAACGGAAAAAAAAAACACCAAATTAAAAAGAGAGCTTTTTCTGTGTGCTGTAACTTTCGTTGTATGCCCCGACTTACCCAATTTGGCAATCTTCTGAAACATTTTCGCTTGGAAACATAGGTGTTGTGCAGGTAGTCAAACGATGCTTTTGTGGGTGTCGAGAGAGTAGTAGAGTTACTCGGGTAGTAGTTGACCGTTTAGAGGAGTCACATGCTGTTTAGTGAGATTAAAGCTCATTGCGTCTATGCTTGTGGATACTTCATCTGCGCCCTTTTAGTATTGGCCCATCATACTTTTCACTCTGGCTGAGCGTAGCTCTTTCAACTGACAAAAGGGACGACAGCATTTGGGATATCAAGTTTTCGAGGATTAGCCACATGATGTAGAATGGTTAACTGTCCTGCTTTTTGTTATGGCTGTTTCAGCATACTTCCACTTAGAGTATCATCAACTGCGTGTTAAGTGGCTGCAATTACCTCTTCAGTGAAAACGAATTGCATGGTGCAGAACATCGACCTTTTGATTACTCTCTAGTGTTTGCAATTGCATAATTGGAGCTGTTTTAACTTACTAATGCCAACCTTGTAACGAGAGAAAAAAAAAGGAAACATGGAGAATAATAAAGTTCCGAGATTTCAAGGAGTTCATGCCAAGAACCAGTTTCTCTCTTTCCTCTTGCTTACCTGAGCATCTGTGAACTTAACTAAGTCATTTGCTATCAGCTATAAAGGTTGTTGTGCCCAAAATCATATATGATGGGTACGTCCATTCTTGGTACTGGGAGCCTGCAGAGGCAAAAATAGAGCAGTTAAACCGTTGCTTTTAGCCTTTCATTTTTCTCTTTGTGCAAATAAAACACTAATATCCATTTGGCTTGTGACATGATGCTCTACATTGGCTCTATTACATTTGGCAGCGGTGTCTCTGGTTTGAACTCCAATATTTGATACGATGCCATATTATTTTCTTGTCCTTTGGTTTTAATGATAAACTTATATATAATCCAATTCATTAGAGAGCTCTAATCAGATTTGCCAATGTTGGTTTACAGTTCTTACTGCATGGATGTGGCGGCTGATGGGGCATAAATGGGAAGAGAGGTCTTACTACGAGTTCTCCGCATATATCCAGTTTTTGCTGGGGATTAACATCTTGATAGACAATGGTCCCGCTAACCTCTTGCCACTCGACCATAAGCTATAGGCCAATACGTCCATCTGATCTTGAAATCTTAGAGAAGATTCATGGTGATTTATTTCCCATTAGGTAGTTTAGCCCCGTAAAACTTTGCTCTTTTGAGGTTTTTTTATTTTTATTTTTATAATTGATGTGGATATGTAGATCGACTAGTTGCTTTTCTTATAAGAGCAGTTGGATCTACAGGTATGAATCTGAGTTCTTCCAAGATGTTGCCCATGGACATGGAATAGTGTCTTGGGCAGCCGTTGACCATAGCCGTGATGATGGAAAAGGTGATGAGCTAATTGGATTCATAACAGTAAGGGTTGTTCTCGCAACGGAAAGTGAGGTGAGTGTCTAATGTCATTCGGCGATCACTTTTATTGAAGCTCCATACCACATCGTTCTTCCTTAAGCACAATTGGAGCCAGAAATGTGTTCTGTGTTATGAAACTGAGGAAGATTCTTTAGGAGATGATTTGGTCATGTGTTAATACATCTTTACAGTTTGATGCCGTACAAATGAGTTTCTGAATTTCGATATTTTTCTTATAAGAATTGCGCTTGCAGATCGTGGATCTGCTTAAATATGATTCTGCAGAATCAGAATTGTCATTAGTCTACATTCTGACGCTGGGCGTGGTGGATAGTTACAGGAATCTTGGAATAGGTGGGTCCTTGTTCTCTTTCTCTGTGGCTCTTTATCCTGTTCTGTGAGCATTAAAGGAACTAACTTGCTTGTTCTTTGATGTGCAGCCTCTTCGCTTATTATTGAGGTTATCAAGTATGCCTCTAGCATCCCAAATTGTCGAGCTGTTTATTTGCATGTGATATCTTACAACTTTCCTGCCATACACCTATACAAGAAAATGTCATTCAAGTGTATACGGAGATTGCCGGGTTTTTATCTGATTGATGGCCAGTATTACGATTCCTACCTGTTTGTTTACTTTGTAAAAGGCTGTCAGTCTCCTTACTCCCCACTGTAAGTTTCCGAACAGCTATATGGGTATCCGGTGCTTTATTTGCCTTTTACTCTCTTTCTTTTGGTAAAAGAAAGAATACATGCTGTTCCTCTTATTATTCTTTGGACGACAGTTTCTTTTTTAGGACATCATCTGACCGAAAGTTTGAGTTCCAATTTTAGGTCGTTCTTTGTACTCTCTTGGAGCTCCTTCTAGATGATCAATTTCCTAATCTGGTCTTGTTAATTTCACTACCGGCATTGCATAGACGCTATTGGGTCCTTATACTTTTCAAGTTCGATTTAGTTAGTTGTCTAAGGTGATGTCACACTGAATTTGAGACTATTGAAGTTGTATAATGCAAATGAAAAACCAAAATACTTGTCCTGTAGGGAGCTTGTCACAGCCATCATGAGATATGTACGGAGCGGTTTCCAGTCGATTTCTGCAAAGCTGTGGAGCAATGAAAGGAAGGTCGGGTGGATGGTCCAGATGTAATGAAGCTCATTCTCTAATGTAGGTGGCACAGAACAAGAGAATCCTCAAGTCTCAGAGAGCTGGGGATGAGTGTATACTATACGTTCGTTTTATCAAGCAAATGTTGGTATTTTAAGGAAGGATGCGGAAATATTGTCTACCTTATACGTTGTGTCAACACACCTCTTGTGTAGGTGTATTAAAATAATGTCGATGTCATAGCATTTCTTCAGAATTTCAGGCATGATGTTTATTTTCAAAGGATGTATGCATACTAGTAATGAATGTAAATAATATAGTTTTTTCCAACTCATTGCTTGATGATGATTCATATATTGATGATTGCAGTTGACATGGATGTCATCCCTTGCCCAACGACTTGACTGAGGAAGTGAGGCGCATTCTCCGCTGGCCCATTGCTGTAGGGGTTACCAGCGAATGATGACTAACTAGTTTCATGAATGGACCACCAAGCACCTGGCGTGGTGACGAGAGAGGTGGTGACGAGAGAGGGGGTCGGGAAAGGGCTGAGGAAGATATATCATGGGGTAAAAGTACAGGGACAAATTCATCAATGTATAGTAGAGCTATCTCTCTAAGATACTCTTGAAGTGGCTATAGGTGCATTTTCTGTGTATGGAGGTGTGATTTGGCTGAGAGTTTCAGGCTTACATGACCATGAGCTTTTTCATATCATATCGCTGATCTCATTTCTAGTGAAAGGATATTGGAGGAGTCATTCATCTTTGAAAAATCAGTTTCAACACCTACTTTCGAATCCTTTTGTTTTTGATTCCCGGCGACCATGCATGGCTCGATGCTTCATATGGGCCGTCAGATATCAACAGCTTACGAATGAGACCAAAATCAACAATCTCATTCTTTCTCTGTCAACAAAGTAAAACCCCATCACAAGAATCTAATTAAATACGTGGGTTAATTCAGATAAGTTCAATGCCGTTTACAATGCCGAGTATATGCGCGCTCATCTCTTCCCACATGCGGTAAGTGCGAGACGCAGAACATTGTTTTTGCAGGACGAACTATGAATCAGAGCAAGCACATGTGAAATGGGTTAATCGCTAATTAGGATTATAAATTGTAAGAGTTGGTGGTGTGGTTCACGTGGGGAAGCGAAGACGATTGCATATACATAAGCTATATATGCGAAAGAGTGGATCGTTAGAGAATAACACTATTGCAATACGTGCATGTCGAAGATGGTTGCTTCATATTTGCACAACTGCATGAGGACTTTACTCTCTGTTTCTCTGCTCAGTCTTGTTTTGTCTTCGGATGAGGGTTATACACAAAGAGTGCAATGCAAGTCTGAGAGCCACCTCATTTTCCAAGTCAGCTCTCTATTGCCTTCTGCTTCTTGCGAAACTTCATCTACCGGTACTAACAATCTCTCTCTCTCTCTCTCTCTCTCTCTCTCTCTCTCTCTCTCTCTCTCTCTCTCTCTCTTACATGTAACGTGGATGAATCTCATTTATTGATGATACTCTATGCTTGCCCGTCTCAGTGATGAGTCAGTCTCATAATTATCGCATCACCTCGTATAGGATGTCGTTGATCCATGTCACATCGATCCTAGCTAGGACTAAGGATGTTGAAAACATCAACCTTCCGTGAGGAAGTTAATGAAATAAAAAAGAAGCTAAACTGGCGGATGTTCTTGGAATGATGAAGTCCCCAGTGAAAATTCACATTAATACTTTTGATTTGCTCTACAAGCTCTCATAGTCTCTCATAGTAACATCGTGATGCAGTCGCTATCCGGAAATCGTCCTTAGAGGTAATGCACAAGCACGGTCCATGCTCTCTGCAAGGTCGCGCCAAGCCAAATGCGCTCGACCACACAAAAATCCTGATCGGAGAGCAATCGAGGGTCAATTCAATTAGATCATAGTTCTCAATGAGCAGAAGCAACAACACTGCCAAAGGAGGTGGCTTAGAAGGCTCAAAGGCCACTGTCCCGACCACGCTATTCGACTCAGTCGAGTACGTTGTGACTGTTGGCATCGGCTCGACACAGTCAAAGCTCACACTTGCCTTCGACACCGGCAATGACCTCACTTGGACTCAGTGCAAGCCGTGCTCATCCTGCTACCCTCAATCTGATCCATCTTCGACCCGTCTCACTCCTCGTCCTATGCCAATACGCCGTGTACCTCGCCCTTCTGCAGTGATTCTGGATCAAGTATATGTCTTTCCAATACACAGGAATTATACACAAATCTTATCATAAAATTTACTCAGCTGGAACACTAAATTATTGATGTAATTGCACGAACGAAACCAATGCCAAGCGCTCGCGTGAAGAACGGCGCTTCAAGACTCTGCACATCTTCAACTGCGCACACCAACAATGACACTCTTCAAGCACTCACGAAAGCGGCGCTTCTATTTGTCTCTGTGCCTCTCTCTTAAGCCACCCCACAGTTCCACAATCAATATTATATACCCAAGAAAAGAATATGCAGTGGCCGACGCCAGCTTTGAAAAGGAAACCATGCAATCCGAACGGTCGGTCAACAAAGTCAACTTTCCTCTTCTTCTTTTCTTTGACCGACTTGAGCATAAATCAGGAAAGTAGATTATTTTCCTTTGACCCAATTTTGCTTCAATCGTGGGAATATTTCCTTTTCCACAAGATACGTAAATTGAGGTCCGAAACTTGCTCGATTCAAGACATTCACAAATAATAATTCATCTCATATCGGGTTTTGTTCGCGGACTCAAACTCGAGAGATAGTTTCAACAATCTCCACCTTGGCTTGACGTTTGAGCCAAGTAACAATCGCTTTGATAGAATCCGAATTTCGCTACTACTCTCCCACAGCCCCAATGGGCTCAACGGCCACAGATGTCTTTCAAGTCCAAGCCGCGCTTGAACTTCGCCATAGCCGTGGACCTCATCAGAATACCAACTCCACATGCACCTTTAACCGCTCCATAAGGATTTTCCGACACAACCTCCTCAATCGCAGATAAAGCAAAACCATCATTGCATCCATATCTGTCAGGAGATCAAATACGTACCTTGTCAATATCAGTAGTTACAGCAACCGTTGGCTCAATAGGCTCCACCTCGCTACAAGCACCATCTGTGTTGATTATTTCGCTAGTACCCGCTACCTCAGGAGCTTCTGGTTGCAACTCTACCTCAAGTTGAACAACGTCCAGATCCGTATGAACACTGCTATTAACACTCCTAGCCAGAAGTATTGGAGACTCGTCAAATGTAACTTCTCTGCTGATAACAGGTGAACTTAATTCCGGGTACCACAACTTATAGCCCCGCTCACCTTGTGCATAACCTAGGAACGTGCACTTTCTTGTCCTTCCATCGAGCTTATCATCACTAACTCGAACATAACATGGACAACCAAACATTCTAAGAACAGAATAATTAGCAACGTTACCTGACCACACTTCTTCGGAAGTTTGACATTCAATCGCAGTCGATGGGGATCTATTTTTCAGGTAGCTCGTCGTACTAAGCGCATCCGCTAGGAATCTCCTAGCCATACCAGCACTAGAGAGCATTTTATGGGCCGTCTCTAGTAATGTTCTGCTCATCAACTCTGCAACCTGTTGTGGTTCAATGGCACTAGTGCGGTGTTTCACTATGCCTCCCTTCATGCAGAATTCGTTTAACAGCTTTGAGCAAAATTCCATACTATTGTCAGTTCGCACATGCTTGATCTTCTTACCAGTCTCCTTTTCGATCAAAGCTTTCAATTGCATGATCTTGACAACAGCATCAAACTTGTGTCTTAGCACAAACACCCAAGTCTTCCTTGAGTAGTCATCAACAACTGTTAGCATAAATCTGGCACTCTTCCTCGAAGGAAACTGCGACAACCTGCGAACATCTAAGTGAATTAATTCTACAATATCCGTGGTTTCCTTAACAACCGTACCGAACTGTACTTTCCGCCGTTGATCTAAATCACAGCACCTGCATACATTCAGTTCATTAGCCACATAACCACATAGCAAATTTCTTTCACTTAGAACCTTTAGGTTTTTCTCGCTAATGTGCCATAAACGCATATGCCACAATTCAGACTCTCGAACAGATGCATCCGACATCTCCGCAGCGAATTCCATCATTGTCTCACCTTGAAGCTCATACAGGCCATCATGCTTGATTCCTTTTATTATTACCAAGGCACCTCGAATAACTTTCAGAACTCAACATTCTGAAGAATATCGACACCCAGCTAAATCTAGGGCACTCAAGGAAATCAGATTTTTCTTTAACTCTGGAACATGCCTCACTCCAGTCAATGTCCACACGATACCATCATGCATTCTGATTCTAACATTACCAACACCTATAACATCGCATTCAGCATTGTTCCCCAACTGAACTTTACTATTATCTATGCACTGATAAGTAGTAAACCAATTCCTATTTGGTGTAGCGTGAAAAAAATAACCAGAATCCAGAATCCATCCATCAAACGATGAATTATTAGTGACAGACAAGACAAAATCAGCATTATCCGAATTACTGTTAGCAATAGATGTAACATCATCCGTAGGATCAACTCTAATTCCCTTACCCTTGTCGTTCTTCAGTTTAAGGCAATCTCTTCTAAGATGCCCCCTCTTGCCACAACTCCAACAGACAACACCACCAGTCCTAGACTGACTTTGTCTATTCGAGTTCATACTACTCCAGCTAATACGTGTACCCGTTCTTCCTCTATTTTCACCTACTAAAGCAGCAGATACATGTTCTCCAGATTCTCTTCTACGGATGTCTTCACTCAGAATTAAATCTCGAACACCATCAAACGTCAAACTCGTTGACCCAGAGGAATTACTAACAGCAGTAACAATAGTATTCCAACTATCAGGCAATGAGGATAATAGAATCAAAGCACGTACCTCATCATCAAAGTCAATCTCAACTGAACTCAATTGACTAATGATAACATTGAATTCATTAATATGATCAGCAACTGAAGCACCTTCGCTCATCTTCAAGTTAAACAGACGTTGCATCAAATAGACTTTGTTGATCGCAGAGGGCTTCTCGTACATGTCCGACAGGGCTTTCATCAAACCCACAGTGGTCTTCTCATTCACGATGTTAAACGCGACGTTACGTGCCAATGTCAGCCGACTAACACCCAAAGCTCGTCTATCCAGCAATTCCCAATCAGCTTGCTTCATCGTCTCTGGCTTCTCCCCAGACAAGGGCAAGTGCAGTTTCATCTGATATAGATGATCATCAATCTGCATCTTCCAGAAACCAAAATTCTTCCCATCAAATCTGTCGATTCTCACTTTTCCTTCTTCTGTCGCCATCGATTCGCTTTAACTTAAGCAAGTCTAGCTCTGATACCAATTGTTGCGGAAGCCAAGCGATCGAACAATATACACAAATATGTCTCGAGTTTGAGCACGTGAACGAAACCCGACCCGTGATGAATTAGTATTTGTGGACGTCCAAATATAAGCCATGGAAATCCAGAGTTTCCTTTTCGGTGTAAAAGTTTCGTTGCTCAAGGATTCCAAACAAAACAAGAAAAGGAAAGTCTAAGTGAGTCTTCTTCTTTGACTCGGTCAACATGGGTGCAAAATAAAAGATAACGATTATCTATCAAAGTCGGGAAGAAATCAGCAGGATTGAGTCCAACGTTGGCCTAGAAGACTTTGACTGTGAAAGAGGAAATTGTGGACTTCTTGCCACGTGTGTCAGAGAAAGTTGGATTCGGAAAAGGAAATAAGTATATTTGCATGGAGTCCACATTGAAGGGTTCATCAACGAAAAACAACGCAGCGGAATATAGAACCCTAGATAGGATCCATGTGTATATTGAAATCGAAAAGGAATTTCGAAACGTACCTTTTGTAGATCGAAGATAAATCGGCAATCGATTGTGTCTGGATTAGCACCCCAAGTGTTGCGCCTCTACCGGTATCCACACACACGAATCCAACGATCCACGTGCTAGCGAAAGATCTTGAAGTTCCTTTTTCTTGAACGCCTTTTGATTTTCGATACTCTGTCGAAAAACCCTAGACAGAGAACGATTCTCTATCGATTTATACAACCTCATTATCCAGCGGAATTAAAAGAAGTGGGCCGGGCGATTTGGACCCTTCAAACCGTCCACCTTTAATCGTACGTTTAATCGTTATATCATAACGCGCACGACCGCATAGATAATTAAATAAGAGAATAAATTAAAATCTACTTCTTAAGTAGATCAAGACGCACAGATAATATTAAGTTTGTTCGCTATTGTGTGCAACCCTGTAGGTTCACTAAACATTAGCAGTGTGCTCAAAACTTTTTTTTGGCCCACAAGTCATAAGAGGTCTCTAGCAAGACATTATGACTACCTAAGTATAGTGAAGGTCGATTTTCCGACACAACCTAATCCACAACTAATATTAGAGTATCAACCTTGATTGATTCCTAGGGCAGACCACTAACACACATTGATCGTGGAACCTAAGCATAAATACGGGCTGTTCTATTTTTTGGCCGCACAGAGGTCTTGATGCGTTATTGTTGATGAAGAAGACTTCTTGAAGCGCCGCTGGCTTGCGAGTGCTTGGTGTGCGAAGACGTGCAGAGGGAATTCGTGAATTACATCCATGAAGTTAGTATTGAAGCAGATTAAATCTTGTGATAAGATTTGTGAGTAATTCTTTCATGAGATTGAGAGATTATTTCGTGAGGAATTGGGGCTAAACACTGCGTGAGTTATTGGATGTAATTGGGGCTTGGGAAACACTTAGAGTGTTTGAGTGACTCGAGTGTGGTTGTAATCTCCGTTGTATCGCTTGATCTATAGTGGAATTCCGTGCTGCTCTCCCCGTGGACGTAAGTCACTACGATCGAACCACGTAAATCTGGTGTCCGATTTATTTTCTTATTCTGTCAATTTTATTGTTCGATCTCTTGGCTTCCGCAACATATGTCTTTCCAATACACAGTTCTCTCTTTTTTCTAAACAAGGATCTTGCCTCAAAAGATTATGAATTTTATTCAATGAGAGAAGGTATTTCCACGACTTGCTCCGGCTCAACTTGCAATTACCAAATAACTTACGGCGACCAATAATCTTCGTCCGGGAACCTCGCTACCGATACATTGATGTTGACGTCCACAGATGTGATAAGGAACTTCCAATTCGGATGCAGCGGATTCAATTTTGGCCTCTTTGGCGAAGTGGCTGGCCTGCTTGGCCTTGCCCGGGACGGCTTGTCGATCGTCGGACAAACTGCAAGCAAGTACGGCCGATATTTCTCCTATTGCTTGCCCTCATCGTCCAGTTCAACGGGGTACTTAACATTTGGCCTAAGTCATTAACCTTAGACACCGATTGCAACAATTCAAGAAAGTTCATTCTTCTATGGCATCAACATAGTGGAAATGGCAGTAGGAGGAACTGTATTGGAAATCCCATCGATAGTCTTCTCGAAGGCGGAGGCAATCATCGACTCCAGGACCGTGATCACTCGACTTCCGCCGACCGCATACAATGCCATGAGGATGGCTTTTCGGAAAGAGATGGCAAGCTACAAGATGGCAAAGAGTTTCGAACTCTTTGACACTTATGATCTCCGCAACACAAAGTCGGTCGTCGTCCCAAAGATAAGGTTCACCTTCAGTGGAGGCACGTTCATGGACTTGGATCATAGCGGCATATTGTACACCATAAGCGATTCACAGGTTTGCCTCGCGTTTGTGCCAAACAATGACGACACCAACATCATCATCTACGGAAATGTGCAGCAAACGACGTTCGAGGTGATCTATGATGTTGCCAGAGGACAACTTGGTTTTGCCCCTAATGGTTGTATGTGAACTAAATCATAGACCGACAAAAATAAAAGGGATAATGACACAAATGGTTTTTGAACTTTAGCCTAATGTGCAATATGGTCCATAGACTTTTGATTTGTTCAATGTGGTCCATGAACTTTAGTCCAATGTGCAATGTGGTCCTTGCACTTTTAATTTATTCAATGTAGTCTCTTGACTTTTTGTGCATGTTCAACTTAATCGTTGAACTATATGAAAATGTTCAATGTTGTTCCAATTAATTCAAGTTCAAGGGCAATATTTTTTCATTAAGTTGAACATATACAAAAAATTCAAGGATCACATTGAACACATTAAAAGTTCATGGACCACAATGCAAATTGGGCTATAGTTCAGGGACCATATTGAATAAATTATAGGTTCATGGATCACATTGCACATTAAATCAAAGTTCATGGACCATTTGTGCCATTTTCCCAAAACAAAACATTAAAAATAAAGAATATGTCATCCTAGTGATGACACATTTTAGGTGGGAAAAGTGCCAAAAAAGTCCTAAACCTTTTGCATTTATGCCAATTTAGTCCTAAACCTTTTTTTGGTGCCAATTTAATCCTAAACCTTTTGCATTGGTGCCAATTTAGTCTTAAACCTTTTTTTGGTACCAATTCAGTCCTAAACCTTTTGTCTTTGTGCCAATTCAGTCCTTCCGGCCAATTTTGGCCGGATTTTGCTGACGTGGACGCCAACCGGTCACCGGCGCGGACGTGGACAACTTTAATAATATTTTAATATTTTTTCAAATTTTTATTTATTTTTTTCTTTTCTTTTTTTTTTGCCCTCCCTTCCTCCAGCCGGTTGCCAGACCGGTGATCGGCCAGAGGCCGACGCCGGCGAGGCTCGCCCTTGCCAGCGACGGTGAAGGCGAAGGTGAGCCTCGCCAGATCCGGTGAGGTCAGGCCTCGCCCAGCCATGGCGAGGCTCGAGCCCTCGCTGGAGGCTGCTGGCAAGGGCTCGAGCCTCGCCGTGGCTGGGGGAGGCCTGACCTCGCCGGATCTGGCGAGGTCGAGCCTCGTTGGCGGCTGGCACGACCTCGCCAGATTTGGCAAGGTTGGGCCTCGCCCAGTCATGGCAAGGCTCACCTTCGCCGTCGCTGGCGAGGTCGGGCCTCGCCCAGCGTGAGGCTGCCCTCGCCAGTGGCCGGCGAGGTCAACCTCGCCGGCGCCGGCTGGAGGAGGGGAGGGGAAAAAAAAAAGAAAAGAAAAAAATAATAAAAATTTTAAAAAAATATTATTAAAGTTGTCCACGTCAGCGCCGGTGACCGGCTGTTGGCCGGTCGGCGTCCACGTCAGCAAAATCCGGCCAAAATTAGCCGGAAGGACTGAATTGGCACAAAGACAAAAGGTTTAGGACTGAATTGGCACAAATGCAAAAGGTTTAGGACTGAATTGGCACCAAAAAAAGGTTTAGGACTAAATTGGTACAAATGTAAAAGGTTTAGGACTGAATTGGCATCAAAAAAAGATTTAGGACTAAATTGGTACCAATGCAAAGGTTTAGGACTTTTTTTGGCACTTTTTCCCATTTTGAGTCTTACGGAAGTCTAGAAATAAGTTGGTCGTTTTGTAATGTTCACTTGTGTTTATGTTGGATCATGGCTGTCCGGTATACAATATATTTTGTGGTTATCTTCTATTCCTATTGAAGCTTCCTTGTTCACCCTTTTTCAAGAAGAGACATATTGTAGATCTTTCTTTCACTAAACTTTCCTGTGGACGCATATTTTTCATGGAAATCGCTTATAAGATCCCGGTTTATATGAACCTGACGCACATGAATTGTCAAATCAGGTGGGCACCGTCGTGATCCGATGTTTCATGTTAATGAGCTTACATGAACCGGGCTATGCAAGCAATAAATTACTCATTTTCACGGTCACAACAACAAAAAGAGATGGCTAAGGCCACGACTTCCCGAAATTCATTTGGGTAAACAAAGGGAATTTTGATAGGATGAAGCTAACACCATACATCTGATAATCAAAGAACTAATCATTCATATGCAGTTGATGTGGATATGTAGATCGACTAGTTGCTGTTCTTGAATGATCAGTTGGATTTGCAGGTGTGAATCTAAGTTCTTCCAAAATGTAGTCCATGGACGTGGTATTGTGCCTTGGGCAGCCGTTGACCTTAGCCGTGATAATGGAAGAAGTTATGAGCTAATTGGATTCGTAACAAAAGGAAGTGAGGGGAGTGTCTATTGTCATTAGTGATCGCTTGTATTAAAGCACCTTACCATATCGTTCATCCTCAAGCACGAATGGCGCAGGAAATGGGTTCTGTGTCATGAAACTAAGGAAGATTCTTGAGGGGAGAATTTTGTCATGTCTTGATAAAGCTTGCCATTTCGGTATTCCTTTAATTAAAATTGTTCTTGCAGATTGCGGATCTGCTTGCTTAATCATGATGCTGCAGAATCGGAATGGTCATTAGTCTACATTCTGACGCTGGGAGTGATGGATAGTTACAGAAATCTTGGAATGGGTGGGTCCTTATTTTCTTTCTCCGTGGTTCTTTATCCTGTTCTGTGAGCACGACAGGAACTAACTTGCTTGTTCTTTGATGTTCAGCCTCTTCGCTTATTCTTGAGGTTATCAAGTATGCCTCTAGCATCCCAACTTGTCGAGCTGTTTATTTGCATGTGATATCTTACAACTTTCCTGCCATACACCGATACAAGAAAATGTCAATCGAGTGTATACGGAGGTTGCCGGATTTTTATCTGATTGATGGCCAGCATTACGATTCCTACGTGTTTGCTTACTTTGCAAAAGGCTGTCAGTCTCCTTGCTCACCGGTGTAAGTTTCGGAACAGCTATAGGGGCCTCTGATGCTTTGTTTGCCATTTACTCTCGTTTTTTTTCGGTGAATGAAAGAATACATGTTCCTCTTAATTCTTTAGATTCTGTTGGATGACAGTTTTTTTTTCAGAACATAATCTGACTGGAAATTTGAGTTCCAATTTTAGGTCATTATCTGTTTACTCTCTTAGAGCTTCTTCTAGTTGATCGATTTCCTAATCTGCTCTTGCTAATTTAGCTACCGGCATAGCATAGACGCTCGTGGGTTCTCATACTTTTCAAGTTCGTTTGAATTAGTTCTCGAAGGTGTTGTCACACTGAAGCAAATGAAAAAAAACAAATACTGGTCCTGCAGGGAACTTGTCACAGCCATCATCAGATATGTACGGAGCAGTTTCCAGTCGATTACTGCAAAGCTGTGGAGCAATGAAAGGAAGGTCGGGTGGATGGTCCAGATGTAATGAAGCTCGTTCTCTAATATAGGCGGCACAGAACAAGAGAATCCTCGAGTCATGGAGAGATGGGGATAAGTGTATACCGTTTTATCAAGCATTAGTAGGTATTTAAAGGAAGGATGCGGATATATTGTGTGCGCCTTATACCTTTTCTCTTACCTGTGATAGAGCTAGCAAGGATCACCTAGAAGGTGGGTGAATAGGTGATCTTAAACAGTTTTTAATAATTTAAGCGGAAATGAATGAACACAGTTGAGTCTGAATAAAATTCAGATTTAAAACAGTTTATATAAACAGTGCTCTTGATGTGCAGTATGTAAAGTAAGAGATAAGGAATAGAAAAACTGCACACAAGTTTATAGTGGTTCGGCTTATAGCAAGCCTACGTCCACTCTCCCACGCTAACAGCCTATCGGCTGGATTTCACTATGTAATCAAGAGGAATTATAGCTTTTGAGTGACAGCACTCTTGTGTATGATAGGACTCTCTATCTCACACAATCACTTTTACAAAGTATCCCTCAAGATCTTAATGTTTTGGCTCAAGAAAGACAAGAGAAAGAATCGGAGTATGCTCAGACTTTGGACTTGTTGATTCTTGATTCTGTACATCCTTCTGCTGCTCGTTGATCTCCTTAAATACTCCTCAACTTCCAAACTAGCCGTTGGACAGCTTTCAGAGGATTATCTTCCAATCTTCACCTTGGACAGATTTGTATACAAAGGATTGAGTAGCCGTTGGATGGCAGATTCTGAATCCCGCTGATTCTGGTCGCCCATACAATCAGAATCTTGGTTTCCATAAGTAGAGCTTTATCCGTTGTAATGCATACTTATCGTAATGTTTGATTATCAATCAATTAGACTGAGATTGAGTCAATCAAAACTTTTCTTCTATGAAATCCACGCCAGATCACTAGCTGTTATTTTTCGTTCTGAGTTCTGCGTCTGAATAACTTTTGCGTCTGCGTCTGCGTCTGAATAACTTCTGCGTCTGCTTTCAGAACTAAGATTATGTGGGTCTTCAGTAAGATATGAATTTATAAAAGTCTGAGTGACTTTTATGTTAAAGTCTGAACTTCTCATTTTGACAGCTTGTAAAGTCTGAAAAACTTCCTTCTGAGCTTCCAGAATATATATACCTGGAATAAAATGTTTCAGAATAAGTATTAGATTTACAATAACATGGAAAGTTTTGTCAACTTCAAAAGCATTAGGAGTTTTCCTCAACAATCTCCCCCTTTTTTATGGTGACAAAACTTTCTTGTAGATTGAATCAATTTAAAATTAATTTGAAGTAAATAAGCATATTAAGCGCATGAGGCACAGATTGAGATTGAAAGAGCAAACTCTATTGAGATCTGTGTCTTTTTCTTCCTTTGTATATAACCTGCGTATGATCTACGTATTTAATGTTAGTATGGCAATTTATCTGCATATAATTTCTCCCCTTTTTTATCATTAGCAAAAAGAATAAATCAATAATAAGCAGAATCAAGTACTGATATAAAACATTCAAATAGTCTAACAAAATCAATTGTCAATAATACAGATCCAAAATGCTTTTAAAAGGAGGGTATAAAAAACAAGTTATTTCTTTGAAGGGGTTCGAACGAGTTGAAAGTTTTCCAGAATAGAAACAGCCTCTTCAATCTTGGTAGAACATTGACCCACAGCCTGCTCCATATTTGTAGAACATAGAGCTATAGCTTCCGTTAATTCTGCCTTGTCTTTTTCTGCTTGATGACGTTGAGTCTGATTGTTTTCCTCAACAATTTTCTGTAGATTCTTCACGTCTTGCTCAAGTGCAGCTTGTTTGTCTTTGATTTCGAGTAGAAGGGTTAGGATGGTCTGATTGTTTGAGGGCTGTTCTTGGACATTTGCTTGTTCAGTCTGATCGAATCCAGTTTCTGCTTCTGTTGGAATCTCTCCCTGAAAAGGTGCAGGGTCTGCAGAAGCATGTTCTTCAGTGTTAAGGGAAGACTGACTTACATTTGTCCTCAGTGGAGCAATGTATTGTGCCATCTGAAGTAGATTAGACTCTTCAGTTGTTGGTTCTGAAGCTCTTATAACAGGTGCTTGGGCTTGAACTTGTGCAGTAGATACTGGTTCTGAAACTTTGGCAGTAGGTGTTGGTTCTGAAACATGTGCACCAGATGCTGAGACATGATCTGGACCAACATCATGTCCTGTTTCAAGGTGGTCAGACTCTGCATCCTCATCTCTTAGAAGAAGTTTTCTCTTCTTACGATACACCTTCAAAGGAGTTGAAGAAATACTCTGCTTGCTTGCCCTTGCTGATCCTGCCCTCTTTCCTGCTGCTCTCTTAGATTCTTCTTTCCTATCCACAGTTTTTGCCTCTGACTGCTGAACAGACTTTCCTTTTTCTGCACTGTCAATAGCAACTTTCTCTTTTCGATAGTCAAATTGCTTCAAATTCATCTTGATGAGCATTTTCTCTCCAACATGCATTAAAGGAACAGGAGTCTTGCACAAACTATTAAGAATAGTGATATTTAAGCAATGAAATATCCTACTGATAAGAGCGCCATAAGGGAGTTGTCTCTTGTCCTTCAGAACTGTTCTGTACATGTGAAAAATGATAATATGAGGAAGAGAAAATTGTTGCCCATTTAGAATTGCCCATATAAGCTTGATCTCAGATTTGGATAAGTTTGTTTTAGAAGCAGCTTTAGGCCTCAAGCAATTAATAATGATATTATGTAAGATCACTGTTTTTTTTTTGGGTAAAGTATTATGTAAGATCACTGTTCTTCTGGTCAAATCTGAATAAGAGATCAGACGTTTAGGACCTTTGGCAAAAGCTGGATTTTCTGATGCAGCCTTAGAAGCTTCCTCAAAACTCATTTCAAATTGACTAAATTTGTAATTTTTGACACCAATAATCCGAGCTAGAGTTTCCACTTTGAGATCATAAGTCTTGCTTTCAACAGTGAATTGAAGTCAATTGGGTGACAAAATTGAGAGATTCGAGTAAAAATATGCAGTTAGTTCTGCATATGTATGTGCAGATTGAAAGCAGAATTCTGTCATACCCAATTTCTCAAAAAAATGTTGCACAGGAATGCCAACCCGATTGAGATAATCAAAATCTACGCTGCGATGATGCATAATTCCTCTATTCATCAACAGTTTGTAATATTCATGGTGAACTTTAGAAAGAAACAAACCTCCGCTGCCCTTTTCACCATAAGCAATGCCTAACTTCTTGCTGAAATTATAGTAAAGTCTGGCATCATCATTGACCGTAGCCTTAGAATCAGTGGGCGATTTAGGGCTTGTCTGAACTGGTTTTCTTTGAGATGGAGTAGATGATTCTCCAATCTTCGCTTTGCCTTTACTGATAGTACTTTTGGACTGAGAGACAAGATTAGGAAATAGACGAGTGTAGAAGCGAACTAACTCTTCTTCAGATCGAAAGTTGTTATCCTTCAAACATTGACTAAGAGCCGGTTCAGATGCATTACCCCTTTTCAATCTTTCGTAAGATTTCCATACTTGTTTGATGTTCGAGAAGCAAAAATCAGTTTTACCCGAATCTTTTGGAGGAGACGATGGTCGCGCTGCTTGTTGCGTCGCTTCAGAAGGTTCATTGCCATGATCTGAGTCTCTATCAGAAATATCCATGAATTTTGGCTTCTTTGACGACTGGATGTCTCTGTTTAGAATCCTTGTCGATCGTCTCTTGAAAGGCATTGTGATCGGTTCTAGAGCAAAAAGATGTGATCTTGGAGAAGGAAGAGGAGGAGACTCGGAGTATCGTGATGGTCGGGAGAGAAAAATGTTCGTACTGATAGGGTTTTGGAAAAGAGAAGGACATTTTTATAAAAGAGGAGGATAGTTTTTGGAAAGAAAGACCCTTTTTGAATATAGAATAAGTGATCCTATTATAGAGGAAGGACATATTATATTTTAAACACAAATAGTCACGACAATATTTTAAGCACAATTAATCAGATATATTAGAATACATACCTGATTTGCTTCCGAAAGTAACAAATACGAAAATATCCTGCCAGAAATGCCAAAAATATACCCGTCAAAATTTGAATTAAGAACGTACCTTTCTTTGTGAGTCTGAAATGGACATTCATATGGAGAACAATTGAGTCTGAAAAATTCCTGTCTAACAAATACTTCAAGAAAATGGATAAGTAATGCACAGTTTATTTCTAATGTACTCAAATGAAGACTTATCAAGAGGTTTTGTGAATATATCAGCTAATTGATTCTTAGAATCAATGAATTGAATATTCACATCACCATTTTGAACATGATCTCTGATGAAGTGATGCTTGATTTCAATATGCTTAGCACGTGAATGAAGAATTGGGTTCTTGGTCAAATTGATAGCACTTGTGTTGTCACATTTGATTGCAACACTTGAATCTTCAATAGCAAAGTCTCGCAATTGTTGCTTCATCCATAGAATCTGTGCACAGCAACTTCCCAAAGCCACATATTCTGCTTCTGCTGTAGAAAGTGCAACTGTATTTTGCTTCTTTGAGTACCAGGATACCAACATGTTTCCAAGTAGTTGACATGTTCCTGTAGTACTTTTCCTGTCCACTTTATATCCAGCTAAATCAGCATCAAAATAACCAGTAAGAATAAAATCTGAATCTTTGGAATACCAAAGACCTAACATTGGATAAGTTCCAATGTATTTGATTATCCTTTTAACTGCAGAAAGGTGTGATTCCTTTGGGTCTGATTGAAATCTTGCACACATACAGACACTAAATAGAATGTCAGGTCTAGATGCAGTAAGATATAACAATGATCCTATCATGCTTCTATATACCTTCTGATCAACCTTTTTACCATTTTCATCTTTGTCCAGTTTGGATGATTAAGACATGGGAATGTCTATTTTCTTGCAATTCTGCAATCCAAACTTTTTGACAATCTCCTTTGCATACTTCTCTTGGCAAATGAATGTACCACCTTTGGTTTGTTTCACTTGTAGGCCGAGAAAGAATGTCAATTCGCCCATCATACCCATTTCAAACTCATTCTGCATATTCTTGGAAAATTCTTTGCAAAGCAGTTCG